CTTTGCCAGCGTATTTTCAGATTCTCTGGGATAGGTGCGTCCCATGATACTTTGCAGTCGCACGCTTCTCGGTAGATTTGCTTCCCTTGCAGTGTAATGGGGGACGCTAAGCCAAGGGGGTCGTACACTTTCGCTAGTTTGGCCAGTACTTCACGTTTTGTCGGTGCACTACTCGCGCTTGGGAACTGCACGGCGATAGTATCTTCGAATTTGTCCCATTTTACGCCCAATAGCTTTGACTCACTTGGCTTGACTAGTAACTGTTGTTTTGCATAAGACTGATCTTCGCTTGATGTGGCTTGGGCGCTGTTTTTACGTAAAGTAGGCTGGGCAACTTCCTCTCCTTGTGCAGGTTGGGTGTCATCTTCCAGCTGTGCATGATTCGAGTGCCATTTGTGTAACTCAAATGTGGCATCCTTCATAATTTTTTGCGTCACCTCCTTTCGTGCTTTTGCTTGCTGTACGTCTTGACCGCCTGTCAACAGGTCGTCTACGTAGAAACTTCGGCGTAGCCGCTCTACCTCCTCCGGGTATTTCTCCGCCCAGGTATCGAGATGGCATTCAAGAACCCCACCTAGTAGAAAGGGTGAGGGGGCGAGCCCAAAGAGTACTCTCGTGAACCGGAATGTCTGCACTTCTGAGTCCGAATCTGTCTGCCAGTGAAAACGGAGGGCATCTCGTTCACTCTCGTGAATCCGGATTTGTAAGAAGGCTTTCTTAATGTCTCCCGCTAGGACAACTGGGTAGGCTCTCTGCTGAATTAGAACGTCCCATAGTTTGTTTTGCAGCGCAGGCCCTGGGTACAGACAGTCATTCAGTGATGGTGAATCGGGTGTCGCTCGCGCAGAGGCGTCATAGACGATCCGCATCTTTGTAGTTTCAGCGGACTTGCGAATCACGCTCTTGTGAGGGATGTAGAACTCTTTCTGTGGCTGTGAAACAGGGGGTGCCTTTTCGATAACGCCTTCTGCCAGCTGTTCTTGAATTATCGCGTCGTATTGAGCCGTCAGTTCCTCGCGTTGAAGTTTTCTACTGAGGTTCTTAAGTCGTTTTAAGCTACCTTCCTTGTTTGAGGGCAGTTCTGCGTGGTTAGCTTTCCATGGGAGGGTGGTCTCGTACCAGCCTTCTGGCGAGCGTGTTAGGCGTTCCTTAAACTCATCAAATACCATCGACTGGTCATGATCTGCTATATCACGCAATCCCAAAACGTCCAATCTGCACAGATCTTCGTAGTTGCTTTGACTTGTCTGGGTGAGAAGCATGGTGTTTTTGTCAAACTCCTTTCCCGGGGACATCAGAAACCATCCGAATTTGGTGAGTTCTGCGATAGGGTCATTCTCTTGTCCAATTCTTGGCTTTGTTTCCGTTTTAATTCTGGCGTACTCCCCACTGCCAAGCACCACGTGAACCGGAAGAGACGCTTTTGTGTCATCATCGTAAACATTTACGCCTTTCAAGTGTGGGTGCTTCTCAATTAGCGTGCGATAATTGGGGTTTTCAATAGACAACAACTCTCTCTTGTTCACTTTGGTAGCTTTGACGGACAGCGAAAATTGATGGTTGACAGATCTTAATTCGAGATCGTAGACTTCGAGTTTGGCAATTTTAGAGGACATCAGCATATCGATCGTTTTTGTCTGGACATCGGTTGGCTTTAAGCGAAGTAGTTCGATCAGCTTTGCCGACACGTACGAACTGCCGGCTCCAGAATCGATAAGCGCTCTGCATTTAATTCCGTTGACCTCTATGATGACTACTGGGAACAGACCCTCTCCAGTTTGGTTTGTTGTCAAAGCGACCCCATGTGCTGATGGCTGGTTAACTTGGCTTGTCGGGTTTGGTGTGTCACAAATCGACGTGTGGTGACGCTTATGGCAGCGTTGACAGGCTGATTTGCTCGGACAATAGAACGCGCGGTGGTTCCCAGACACACAATTGAAACATAAACGCTTATTTAGTAAAATTTGTCTGCGATCAGCGACATGTGTCACTCTTGTACATTCGATGGCTTTGTGATCTTCGCCGCAGTAAACGCAAGGCCAACAGCGGGGTTTACCATCGGCGTCCCGACGCGTGTGGTAAATTCTTGCTTGCTGGCGTACGTTCCGTTTTGTTGATTGCTGTTCTTGCTCACGCTCACGCTGGTTTATATCCATTGGATTTCTCCTGGTCCACAATCGAACTGCTTCTGAAAGTTTTGCAAAGTCCCAGCTTTCCCAGTCGGGGTCGGTCCGGACGAGATCTCCGCGGATCGCTGGCAATTTGTCTAGTGTCATAGACACCGCCCCATTGACTTGTTCCAGTTTGTTTAGTGTCTGCAGGGCTTGCACACAGTACGTTAGCTTTTCGCTAAATTCACCAATTTTTCTCGGGTTTGGGCTTGATATTGAGGGGAGATCCAGAATCTCTTTGATGTAAGCTTTGACGATTTCTGACTCCTTTCCGAACCTCTCGCTTAGGATACTCTTTGCCCGATTGTATCCCTCAGCCGTGAAGGGCAACGCCTCTATTGCTCTTTTCACTTTGACATCCAGTAGTTCTCGAAGGTAGGTAAATTTCGTGATCGGTTGAGCGCCCGTTTTATCGATTGCTTCTGTGAACTGTCCCCAAAATCGTGGCCAGTCCATATAGGTACCGTCAAACTTCGTTATCATCAGTTTAGGCAGCTTGGCTTGTATGTCGCTTGGCGTCGTCGTCGCTTGTTGGGGGTGTGGCTCAACTTGGATTTCTGCCTGCATCTCTATCTTCGCTTTGTGAAACTTAAGTTCTTCTTGCTTGACAATTGCTTCTGCTTCTCTTTTGCGGTCGTCGATCCACGTGCACATTTTATCCACTTCGCAATCCGCTTTTTCCAGTTGTGCGTCGATTCCGCTGCTCCACGCCTCGATGTCGGCAATTTTTTCTTTCGCACCTAGTTTTGTCGCTTCTACTTCTATCCGCATTCGATTTAGTTCTTTACTGAGGGACCGCAGGGTGGACAAATGTCTTTCGATCGCTTCTGACTTCCCTGTTTCTACGATGGTGTTCGTTTTACCAATGCTCATTTTAAGCTGTGTTACTTTGATATCTAGATTCGCTTCAGTCGCTTCCATCTCCGCAATCTTCGCACGGGCGGAAAATCAGGACTAAAATTATACTCACAACAGTTGTCCTTACTGTTATCCTTCAGAATTGTCCCGTCGGAGGTGCCACGTTTTGTAAACTTTGTCCTGTTTACTAGGGATAGAACTCTGACGAACGAGACTCAATTAAACTGTTTTATTTCGCTCTCGTATTCGCTTATTTACATCAGGTGTGTAAAAAGCTACTCTCCAAAATTTGTAAGAAATCACTCTCTTATACGATATTTTCTACATTTTGATTGGTTGTTGCCGAGTAGTGATTTAAAAGGGTCATTCAAGGTTGCGTTGATTATGTAAACCATTCAATGTCCATAGTGTTCGCACTCATCATCTGACATGTGTCACGCACGAATCAAAGTCTCCGACACAGGTTGCATATGCTCTCTCTGATGAAATAAACGCCAGATTTATAACCGACAAATAAAGGAACAACTGCCTTAATGTTAATATTAAATAATTCACCCAAGAGTACTTCTCAGACCATAATACGTTCTCCCACAGATTGCAGGAAGCTCCTAATCCTTGGATGAACACGTGACCTGCCACTGCTCCCACTGAAAGATCGACTATCGCCAGGTGGATGATCAAGCACGTACCCCTGCGCTGCTGCTGGCGCATCTTCACGAGTACACAAGCACTAACAGCATTAAAAATGACTATGGCCAGACATTCAATGATGAGATATTTATATCTCCGGAGTAAAATGAGAATAAAAATAATCATGAAACTTAAAGCTATATCAGGTTGAGCCAAGTACCTCGTGAATGTTTAAGTCGATCGAGAAGGATTGGAAACTAACCGCAATAACCAGGTTACCAAGTGGGTTTTGGAAAAATGATGTTGAAGTTCTTTTTCTTGAGTCAGCGAAAGGTTGGAACTGGCTCTATTCGTTGGCTGCGAATTTTAGGGACAAAACACTGTCAATCCAGTTACAAAACGACTCGTTCAATATAGAGAGTTTACCTAGCTAAATCAATCGCGTCTAGATTATAACAGAAAGAAATTTGCGAAAAGCTATCCTTCTGGGTTCGTGGTCAATTTGCATGTCGATCGAGCTGAAAATGTGATTCAATCAGAGAAGGAACTTAATCTGTCGTGTGGAAACGGGTTGAAAGTCTTGGAAGCGAAATGGTAGAGGTGGAGGTGCACTTGTTGTCTTCCATGAGGTGTACTCTTTTTGATGGAAGAGGACTGGGCAGAGTGCAAACTTGATGTGGGGTTCAACCTTATTTCGCTCAGTTTTTCAGTTTCAGACTAAGATCCGTCGAAAATTTTTATTAAATATTGTTTTCATTCGAGGCCGTAACAAATTTTCTCGTGTCTCTGTGGTTTGTTCATTTCAACACTTCATGGCATGGTCCCTTTATTACCACAATGTCATAATTTGACTCAACGTTGGCTGCACAACGCTGACTTACATATCATAGTCTATTTACATTCAACTAACTATCCCAGATAAGCAAAAAAGGCGAACGCATAAACAATGAAACGATAGGGCTTCTTTATCTATGGTCTGTACTAGGCACCTGGCCCACGTTTAGTTTCCAGGAGGAACCGCTGCCATACGAAGAAAAAAGAAAAAAACTCAATTAAATTAAATTTAGTGCTGTTAAATTTTTGCATTTTTAACAAACAAAGATCAACCAATAAGTATTTTTGCTCATTGGAAGTCGCAGCTCTTATTCTATTCGCTAGAATGCCTAACTTGCGATCTGGCAAGATTAATAAACATATTATCCATAGGACTTTTGTTAATTGGAAAATACTCTAATTGTCTCTACATAAGTGACTAATTTGCAATAGCTTTTACAAAAAAAAAAAAAAAAGCAGAGTAAAGAAGCTGGAAAAAATATATCTATAGAAGACTTTTGCCAATTTTCACACCTTTCTGACTTGAAATCGCTGACTAGGATCAATTAGATCTCAGTGCTTCTATGGAAATCATTTGTGATGGTCACTCGCAGTTAAATTGCTTACTCTGTTCGTAAGGGGTTGAAAATGGTAATTGAGCAAGAGCTAACGTAATGGTATATCAGCCAGATTCAGACGGATTGGATTCCGGCGGAAGATGATTTGCATTATACCTTGCCTTAACTCTGGCATCCTCATGGCGTAGATTATAGGGTTTATAACAGAGTTAGCCATAAATAAAACCGCTGCTGCTCTTTCAATGTGAAATAATGACCGCCTGGTAATATTGTAAGCTGAATGGGGATGAAACACAACTAGATATATTATCAGTGGAAACCAAGTAATTGCAGATCCTATTGTCACAATGAATAAAGTGCTTGTCAATTTTCTTTCCCTCGCTGTGTTACTGTGACGCAGTTGACGATGAAAGCGGACTTTGACAAAAATAGAAACGTACGAAACAATGGTTACAGACATTAAGATGAAAAAAGACGAAAACATCATAAAGTGGATAAGGAAATCATTACTCATCATTATTATTCCTATCCAGGCGGTTACAATCAACCAAGTTAAAATAATTATAACTGCATAAACCCATTTCTTCATAAAACGATGCTTGAATGGACAAAATGTTGCATGTGCCCGCTCAAGCGAAATTGCAGTCAGATTTACCAGCGAAGCAAGAGGGAAGACAAAGGAGAACACCAAAGATAATACGGGATTTTTCCAACCGATACTCCACAGATTACAAAAACTCCCCATCCATTTTATCTTCTCAGGGCCAGACACTGCTCCTACCAAGAGATCAACGATCGCCAGATGGATAATTAGATATGTACTCCGGCGCTGTAGCTTGTGGTTCTTTATCAGTACAATAATCGTGATCAAATTAAGGATGATAATAGCCAGATATTCAATGATGAACACGACAAGCCACGGAATGCACTGTGATACTGGAAATACGTTCTCCTTGCTCGTGTTCGTCCCAGTGCCGTTGAAGACGTTCCCTGCCATTAAGTTCTCGCCCGTTTATTTGTGCTTCACTTGATCACGGTACTAACTTGGAGGAAACACTTGAGGAAAACCTTTGCAAAAGAATAAATATTTTAAAACATGTGTCATGATCTGAAACAAGTCGATATGAAATTTTTCTTCGGGACATTATCATCAGCATAATTTTGTCTACATATCATTGACATAGTTTTGTTAAGAGAGAAAGCCAAAGTAGACGCAACAGAAAACAACTTTAAACGATTATAGAGACTTAACTTGCCTGGCTGCGACTGAACAACTTTGGCAGCAACAGTAGTTCAATCCACTAGCTTCTGTTCGGCAAAGCAAGTTTACCTTGCTTAAATCACAGTTACATAATAGTTGCGTCGCTTGAGTGGTTTTTCCGTCTAGTTCCTCCTAATGCATCGTCTGAAACTTCAAATATTTAAATAAGTAAAACCCTATAATAAAGGAAATTGAACAAGTGGCACAAGGCGGAAATTATTGACGTAAGTGACAAAATATCGAAGTGATATTGCGATTTATTTGCAAGGAGCCCACTATCCTTTAAAAGGAAGCCGCAATGAGTCATTTTTAATTGTAACGTATCGGTAGAAATTTCCCGGCGCTTGTGCATTGCTAACGCACCACAAATTCAGCGATTGAAGCGAGTCTTATTTGATATTGATCAGCTTACGCTTTTGCGAGCAAGTTTTGTTGATCTTTCTAAAGGTATCCACATAACGGAGGTCATAGTTACATCATTCATAATATAACATGACAGGACGGAAAACGCGTGCACTGTAAGTACCTCCCGTTGTCCCATACAAAGCCTTAGACAACTTTTCTAAGGCTTTGGATGGGCTTTTTTCTGGAGTATCTAGTAGCGCTCCAGGTTGCTTCAATATGCTTACCGCAAGGTGTCATAATCTCGTCACTTTGTGACAGAAATGTCGTTTAACTGAAAGTGAACCAGAACACCAACAGACCTATACATGTCTCAATTTTCCGATGAGGGAATGTTAGGCATCAATGACACGTCATCACTTGTCAAACTTTGTCAATAAACATGACTTCCACTTACGTAATTGGCACAGGATGTACTACTACCGATGAGGGAATAATAAATAAATCTGATCATAAGTCTGTGGCAGGTCGGGTGATATTGAAACGCGTGGAAAATGCATTTTACATTTAAAAAAACTTTATACTTGGAGGATTTCAACTGCTTTTTAACTCGTGAATTCCGCGCATGCGCAAGAGCGAGTTATAGATACGATGTGGGGAATGGCATTCGCTCGCTCGATTGGTCGATTCCTGTAAACTTTTTTTAGATTTTAGGCTTTTGAGTGCATTTTATAGTTTTTGGCGAGCAATAAACAGACGAAATGGCGACCTTTGTTGCTAAGAATAGTGGTGGGGTGAAAAAGAAGCCAATGATAATCTTAAAGGGTTTTTTTTTTTCGTTTTAGTTTCAACAAGCGGCGCCAGCGACTGGCAGGCATGCAAGGATTCACACTGAAATAACAGAACAACCTTCGTTTTTCATAAAATTGTAATTTACAATCCCTGAACTTGAAAACAATCCGAAGATTCATTGAAAATATCACTTACTGCGAAGCGCTCGGAGTTTACAGATGTTCAAAAGCTTTTTCTGTTATAGCGTGAGATTGAGGACAAAATTGATCATTACGTTTCGTCGCGTGTTTTTCCTGTGTGAAGCAACAGAAGATGCCGGCGACTGACGAAATAACAAGTTAACACGAAAATCAAATAACATCTAAACAAACAATTTTAGCAACCGATTTTCAGTGAATTTTTAAAGAACAATTTTCTTTTAGGTTTCAAGACAATTTGAAGATTCAACATACATACAACGTACTAAAATGCGAAAGTTACACACCACAAAATTGATAAATAGGCCTGAAATGAAATTCTATCTTGTTATTGATTATACGTTGCCTAGCACGTGACTTAAATCTACCCAGGCGGAGATCCAAAATGACGGTGGCAGGCTTGGCTTAGTTATATCACTCAAAACTCGTTCCCGTTTGTCTCATTTGATGAAGAGGAAATCGTTAATGTTTTCATTAAGACAGTATTGCCTTGATTTTCAAATATTTACAACGAAAGACAGTAAATTTCACTTTTCACCCACATTTACTTCCAACCTTTCCTTTTGAACCAGAAACAAAAATGATAGACGTTTAAAACACATGACATCATCCACCTTGTCAAATGTAATAGCATGATCATTTCAATTATAATGCCTTCTTATCCCAACGTTACTTTGTTTCTTTGCTACATTAGCGAACACTAAACTACTGCTCGTACCCTAGATATGACAATCAACCACAAAATTCCCTAAACCAGATAACATTAAACATAATCTAAAAAATCATGTGTCAATTCACGAGTTTGCTCACAGAGCACTTTGATTTTTTTCTGGTAGTCCTTGCATAAACCTTGTACCCTGTTTCATCCACATTAATTCTTCGTAGTTGTACATTCACTGCGAACAAAGCTTTCCGGTTAATTTTTATCGTTTTATCGCGTTGAGATAGGCCGCTGTCCACCAGAATTTTCTATAACATTATATCGGTATGGAAACGCGGGCACAAACTCAGCCACAGGGAATCGAGTACCGAAGGCGATCGCCAACAAAAAAGCGCGCGCTTGGCGCGTGCTTGGCAAAGTAATCATGCCACGACGATCTCGGGAAAATACAATCGAAGGAAAACGCAGGATGCGAAATCAAAGGAGGAAACGTAAACGATTGTCAAGGACAGCTAGGGAAAGGGAGAACAGAGAAATGAGAACACAAAAGGAAAGAGATGCATATTCTCGCGCTAAGGGATTGACGCGAATGTATCATGGCAAATGGAAAGCATTAGTCGAAAAGAATAAAAAGACCCTGGACAAAACCAAGGTAGGTACTCGGTTAGCGTCAAAATAGAATAAAATAGGTATCAGAAAATGAGCAGTTGGTTACAAAAAACGATATCACCGAACTGAAGCTGAACGTAATCAAACTAGCATTGTCTTGCATTGTACAAAACGTCCTGGGGTTGAATTCAACATTAACTCATAGGGGGAGGGGAGAGTGTAGCCCTCAAAATTCGTCTCCTTTTCATGATGAAATGAAGAAAAAACTACAATCATTTTCGTAAAATAAGGCAAGGAATCCCCATTTGAAATTGCCACATTCTGAAATGATTTAGCGGGAATTCATTCATTTCTGTTTGCCAAGCAGACAGGCAAAACTTTCGTCTGAAAAGGACAGTCATTGAGCTTTGAGCATTTTCCCTTCCATCTTGCTATGTAGTGTTGATCTTGCCCTACCAAGGTTACCACAGATCAAAAAATGACCAGGGATAGAAATTTCAAGGTCAGGGAAAAGTCAGGGAAATTAAAGTTTTTACACCACTGAGTTTCATACCATGCTGGAAGAAATATTTCAGATGATCTCAGCAATGTTTTAATGAAGAAGAGGAGACTGGACATTTTGTATCCATTTCATTAGGGAAATTTTATTTTTATCATGGATAGGTCAGTACCTTAATAGTCAGGGAATTTTGGAAAGTTCTGTTTTTGGCAACCATGCCTACCCTCTATGTATCTCTATCAACAGTGTTAGAGTGAAGTCTAAAATGAATACATAAAATACTTGGGGTTGTTTAGGATACAAGGAGAGACTTAAAGAAGGCAAATGAGCCGCAGTTTATTATATGAAAGGGATAAAGTTTACCAATAAATCTATTAACATAGGAATTACAATTTCCTCGATTGTGATTAGTTTTAAAAACTCCTATTTTCCACTAATTCACTTGCCAAGTTGTTGTTGGACAGTTCAATAAGCCAAATACATTCAAAGTTGTAGTTTAAGTCAACCAATCACATTCAAAGTTGTAGTTTAAATCAATCAATCACAACCTTGGTTTCAATCACCATAGAAACAGTGTACAGATTCCTAAATTGGGGCTTTCTTCAAAACAGAGAATTGGTTTCCCTTGAGCAATGACAATATTTAAGTGCTCTTTTTAATTTGGAAATTGTAATTTTTATGATTAATTGGCAAAAGGACTTTGTGTCATTCGTTTTGGTCTGTAATCACACTCGTGATAAACAAATTGTACTCCCACTATGCAGTCGTCTGATTTTGTTATCACTCATATGATTACAGACCAAAGACTACTCAGTCCTATTACCACTTATTACACAATCTAGCATGTGAATCTTATTAAGCTGACCAGCTTCACTTTTCCTCTGTTTATAAAATAAAATATTACTTTATTCCAGATTAGAGACATGAATACAAAATCAGGACCACCCAGTAGCAAATTTGCCACTGTTAATTTAATTGATCCATCTGAGCTTCAACCAATCAGTGAAAAGGAATTAATACTAGGACAGGGTTCATATGGCCAGTGCATTTTAAAATCTTTCACAAGATTAAACTTTCTTGTGCTAGAAAAACAATTTTTCAATTGAGGACCTTCCTATACAAAATAGTTATGACCAGTTTCCCTATTTAACAACATATTGTCCTATAACATAACCTTTCTTGCTAGTGATGAAGGCCTCACCTTGTAGTTTAGGTTGCAAGAAACTTACAAAGTCACAATATCTTTCTCAGCAATGTTTCTTAGCTTTTTGGCTATGCCAAGTCCAGTGATGTACATGTAGAGCCTGAAGATTGCCCTTAAGTAGTTAGATGAATTGATTAGATGACAATTTTCTTCACTGACTTTATAGCTCTGATCAAGGAAAATATATGAAAAGGTTTTGTCTAAGATAGGCTTCTCCTAGTTGTTCTCATAGCAATAACATTCAGAACAATCAAAACAAAAAGACTTGAATAAATAAATAACTAAATGAATAAGTAACTATTTATTAACTAACTTACTTAAATATAAACACATTTTTAAAAAATAAAGTCAACCAGAGTTGAAATTCAGTTAAAAGATATTTGTTTCTTGGTGACAGTGGTAGCTATTGTGTTAAATTACAGATGCAAAAATTTAGCAAGTGTTTAACTCTAGCAATGTTTTCGTCAGAGGAAATACTTGCTAATAATTATCCACATGTGAAAACATGAAAATCATATTAGGCATGTAATTTAGCCTCAATACTTTTCTTTGCACCATTTGGCAGCCTTTTTTAGATCCCTAGCCCATAGAATTTCCATCACCTCCCATTGCTTGGGGGCAACTAATGGCTATGGATAATTCTGGATCAGCCAAAATGACACATTTTTGCTAGTTTGCTGATTCCTGTCAACAGAGACAAACATCACCTTGAGATGATCAATTTTGGTTGGAAACAAAAAGAAAACTGCATGTAGGCTGCTGGTGGAAACCCTCTGTATTAGTCTGCCCTCTTCCACAGTTAGCAGTGGGATTAGGGAAAGTCACAC